GCGCGGTCGCCACGTCCCTGCGCGAAGCGCTGACATCGGGAAGGTCCTTCCCCGGACCTAGGGGTCCAGCGGGTGCGCCTCGCGAGCCCGGGCTCCTCCCTCCCGGACCGATCCTGAAGCTGCTAACGACCCGGCCCGGAGCCGCGGCCCCCGAGGTGCGTCCTGACCCGTGCGGGCAAACCTCGTCCAAGTGCAGATGCTCGCTCCCTCCAGACCCGCGGAACCCGCGCGCCGGCTTTGCCCTGGAGCCCGCACGCCTGGCGCCGCGTTGGGAGCTGAGGCGCCGCGGTGGGCTCGGCGGGGCGCCCTTTCTGGGAGCGAGGCCGCGGGGGCGGGGGGCGGAGGGCGGGCGCGGCGCGGGGGGGGCAGGCCCGCCTCACCTGCGCAGCCGCGCCAGTGTCCGGCGGCCCGCCTCCACGCCTCCCCGCCTCCCCGCGGGGGCGCAGCCAGCGGCCCGGAGTTCCCCACGCTGGGTCGGTGCGCCCCCCAGACCAGGCTCCAAGGATCGCCCGACTCTGCAGAGCAAAGTTCTCTGCATCTGCACGAGAAGGAACGGCCAGCCCGTTCCGTGCGACCCCAGGTTAACCTCCTCCGGTGGCAGCAGCAGCGCCTGCGCCCCCCACGGCGTGGATGAGGCTGTGTCTTTGGGGATAGTTCATTGCTTGGCGCCTCCCACCAAACAGCTGAAGGTTTGACTGGCGTCCAGGAGGCTTGCCAGACTTCCCCTTCCTCCGCTTTTCTTGTACCACCGCACTTGTCTCTTTCCTCCTTGCTTTTTATTTATAATTATTTAATTTAATTTAATTTAATTTAATTTAATTTAATTTAATTTAATTTGGAGGGGAGGAGGTAATTAGGTTTTTATTCTTAATGGAGAAATAGAGGCACTGGGGATTGAACCCAGGACCTCCAGCACAGCACTGAGCTGTGCTCTCCCCCCTCCTTCTTGCTTTTTAAACCCACTTCCACTCTCCGCGCTGCTACTCCGGACACCAGAGGGAAAAACTTTCAGGACCTACTCCACTAGTGGAATCTGGCCTTTTCTGCGGTTCTCCTGACTCACAGCTGACTTACTGCTTCGGACACTCTCCCGACAACTTCTCTCCCTAACTCACTGTATCTGCAGTTTGCAGGGGCCGTGTTTCCACTCTCACTGGTGCCCTCTCCTTTCTACCTACTTTACTGAAGTTCATTTCTTTGTCTCCGCAGGGATCCAGGCCTCTCTTTCTGCTCACAGACACTGTGCTCAGGACACTGACAACAACCCTTTTAAATACCAGGCTTCTCACACTGCTCCATCCACAAACCTGCCTCACCTACTCGCCATCAGAAGTGCTTCATCTCCAAGATACAGGATCCAGAAGTTCTGCGTTCTGACCACAGTCGTTCTTTCCACCACATCTCCCAAGCCTGCTCTGCCTCAGTCTTTGACGTCCCAGGCTTCCAGTCTGTCATTTTGTTTCACTCATTCTGTTCATATATTCAAAAGCATACTTTCTTCCTCATCAGAAATGGTTATTTCCTTCACCTCATGCACTCGTACTTCACTCAGGTAACAAACCGGTCTGCCCTGAGCTGGTGAGTGAACTGGGTAAGGTCACAAAATCAGAGTTACTTAGACCCAGCAGTGGGGTTCCCTGCTTTGGGCAACGCTCACATGTCCCTACACTACACACACATGAATACAATGCTCATGTAAACCCTATGAAGTGTGCGCTAACAAACCTGCATTATCAAGGCGTATTTGGATGCTTTGTCTCTCAAGATCCAGTCCTCGGTGCTGGTAACCATAGCCGGTAACCTCCAAACCCGAAGCACTCACTCTCGGCTGACACTTTCAGTCTCCATGGAAACACTGCACACCGTTTGCCCGTTTGTCTTCAGCGCAGAAGGTGACTGTATCTAAGTGTCCTGGGGGCTGTAGGTGGGCTGTTGCCAAGGTTGGAGACAGGTAATGCTTCAATGTGCAGAAGCGCATGAAGGCAGAAGTGCTTGGGTGAAGGAAGAAGGCAAGCCCCTCTTTCAGCCCTCCTGCCCAGGTATCGGGACCGGAAGAGATGCTGGCAGGATGAAGTCACCGTTTCCCATAGCCGGGAGCACTCGTTTATTCACTCCTGCTCAGGCCCACTCGTGTTCCGTGGGAGGCTTAACAACATGCGTGTTTTATAATGTGAAACAGTTCACATCACTCTGAGATTTGTATATTTCTGGATCTAGACATGACATAGGTGAAGGGTAATATCACTTACATTGGCAAACACACTGAACACCGTAATTACAAATAATTTTATTTTAAAACTTCTGAGAGCTTAAAAAAATCTTTAAAGACTAAACCAGAAAATCAGCTATCTTTAAATATTTATTATTTGTAACTTGTATTTTCCTTTTACTTTTATTAGATGACTTTCAGTGTCCCTGTTCCCCACTTTAATTTTCCTCCACTTTCCATGGTCAGTCATGCCAATGTGTTTTTTGTACAATTGGCCATCTGTTTCTGAGTCCCAGATCTGGGACTGTGGAGGGCTGACTGCAAGGGGCTTGACCGTTTGTGGATTTTGGTGTCTCACAAAGCCCTGGAACCAATCCCTCCAGATTCCAAAGGATGACGGTTTTCTAGCCTTTGTTGTATGTGTTCCTGCAAAACTTGCATGGATGTATTAATTACCCACTTGCCATTGATTCTAGGTCTTATTCTGGTCTTATCATTTAAGATCTAAATGTGTTTTTATGCTAGTAATTCTGTAAATAACTCCATGGTGCCTATGTTTTCTTCTAGTCTTTCTGCCTGGTCTTGGTCCCTTGATGCATGAATTATTTCTAAGTATGCACGTATGTCTGTGTGTGTGTTTTCTCCAAGTTGCTAATGCTCCTGCACTATGGGCAGAGTCCGTGAATGTGATTTCTATGATGTTGACATTTGAGAATGGTTAAAACTTCTCCCAAGATTACTATTATATAATCAGTGTTTTATTTTGTAAAAGTGGAATTATTGGTGAAGAGGTTATAAGCATGTTTTGACAATTCTTAACATATTGCCATGACACTGTACGGGATTAAGGAAAATTGCCCATGTGACATACTGGAATCTAGAATGTCTTGCAATAAACAGAATTTTATGGAAATTTTAGTGAGATTGAACAAGATTTTGTAAATTCATTGAATATATGTCTCATATTTTGTTAATTCCCTGACTGTGACTAGCACTAATTTTTCATTGGATTTTGACCTTTTATTGAGTGATAACTTTTCCATGTACAATTTTTGAAAAATAAACTTTTGTCAAATGTGATCAATCTTTGTGCATATTTTAAAGGTATTTACATTCTCTATTTGATGGGTCTACAGATGCCCACCAGGTCTAGCTCATGTGGTTGTGTTATTCACATTTTGTAACACCTCTCTCCTAACATGTATGTTTATAGTAACATTATTAATAATAATCTGTACTGTCATATTAGCATTTACATTAGTATTACTAATTACATTATACACACTATTATTATTTTATATTAGCATTATGACCACATTATGC